CCGCACCTCCGCAACATCACCCGGCTCTGCCACTGTCTCACAATGGAGGCCGCTGAAACCCTCATGCACGCTTTCGTAATATCCAGGCTTGACTATAAAAACTCTCTGCTTGTCGACCTCCCCAACTCCTCCCTCCATAGGCTGCAGATCATCAGAACTCTGCAGCCTATGTCTTCTCCCGCACCAGGCTCCATGACCCTATCAGCCCCATCCTCGCCCAACTCCACTGGCTTCCCATCACACAGAGGATACAGTTCAAGATCCTGGTCCGCACCTTCAAAGCCCTCCATGGCCTCACTCCCCGCTACCTTTGCGACCTCCGAACTCCCTATCAACCTGCCCACTCCCTCTGCTCAGTGGGCTCCAGCCTGCTTCACGTCCCCCACCTCGCTCACCCCACCATTGGAGGGTGAGCCTTCAGCCATTCTGCCCCAACCCTCTGGAACTCTATCCCGCAGTCCCTCCGCCTCGCCCCCTTCCTTGCTTCCTTCAAGACCCATCTCAAGTCTCTCCTCTTTGACCATGCCTTCAATTACCCTCCTTCCCCCCTGCCCTCAACCCTCCCGGAAATTTTATATGATTATATGATAGGCAAAGACAAGAAACCAAAACCCCAGAACAAGCACCTCCCTCTGAGAAAAAAGAGGAATTACTACTGAGCCTGAGGCAAAATGCAAGCTGAGAAATTTGCCCCTCTGGTGGGAGAAACACATTCCTTGAAAATTCCAAACAACATTCTTTCGTTGGCAAATGACTGCTTGTACTGTCAAACAGGTAGTGGGAGCTGACTGCCTGTTAGTGAGCAGAATGGAATGGAAACAATTCACTTACCTTTCACAACAGGAACTCATCCTGACCACAGTGTAGTTTTGAGTGTCAAACCAGCAAAGGCAATTTGAATCGGTTTGAAACCTTTGCTTTAGTTTTTCATTTAGTTAGAACAATTAGTTTTGTAATAAAGGTGCTGCCTTTGCTTATCTGTAAGGTACAATATGGACTGAGTTAAGCCCACTGGTCTTTTAACATTTGGATCTGGGTTCAGATCCAGCCCCACTGATGGGATGATGGTGCTCTCTCCGGTAGGGAGGGCACTATATAAATCCAAGTTGTTGTTGTTGTTGTCTGTCTGCCAGTGATCAGAATCCTATGTGAAAGGATTTTGGCCAGTCTCATCCAGTCAGGCCCTGGTCCATAATATAAACCTCTGACATGTTAGCACTAAGTGATGTATTTGGGGAACTGGCAAGACCGCAGTGGCATGCCATTCGCAGTGAAGCCATCAAGGTCCTCGGCATCCTGTTCGGGGCTGCTGGGGCATGCCAAAAAAATGGGAGGAGCAGCTGGATACAGTGAGGGAGAAACTGGGGTGTGGCGCCAGCGCTCGCTGTCCATCACCGGAAAAAACCTGTTGATAAAGTGTGAAGTGCTTTCAGTGTTACTGTACGTGGCCCAGGTCTGGCCTTTGACCAGGAACAATGCCGTTACAGTCACCAGAGCAGTTTTCTACCTGATCTGGAGATCCAAGATGGATCGCGTCCACAAGACCCCAGAGAAGGGTGGCAAACATATCCCTAATGTACCCCTGATTCTCATGGCCACTTTTGTGTGTGGCTACCTGAAGCTGTGCCTGGAGCCCTGCTATGCCAGCAACAAATGCCGCTATGTGCTGGGCTTCTACTTGTACCCAGTGCTGAGAAGGATGGGTATGGCAGAACTGCCTCGAAATGCTTCACACAGTTGGAGCCGAAATACGTATCATACGTAAAGAAATTTCTGAATAGTACCCACTCAGACCCCCGGGTAATCACTGAGTGGTCTGCGTGGCAGGTAGTGGAAACAATTAGAAAGAGGAAGAGGGCCGACCCAATTGAGAGTTATCCTGCAGCCATGTCTGGCAAAATTCTTCGTCATCATGTCCAACAGCCATCAAGACACGGCCTGGCTGGCCATAAAAATGGCCCTCACCCTTAGGGCTTTCATGCACTGTCGAGGTCTGGGCCAGTCAGCAAGCTGCCCTTGGGCTGGCTGCAGAGGCAAGGAGACCATGGACCACCTCTTCCTGGAGTGTGGGTACCCAAAAGCAGTTTTGAAACAGGAATAATGGCTGCTCTCGCGTTTCGACCCTGGGGACGGGCCGTCACAGGACTCGGTGCTGTACAGTCTCTTCCCTGGCACCCACAGCGAGACCCACATGGAGTGCATCTGGAGGATCATCAACTCGATGACAGAGGCCCTTTGGCTCCCAAAACTAGTGGTCTTCCAGCGGAACGAGGTGACAGAGACATCCTGCCTCAGGCTCGCTCACGCTAAGATCAGGGGCTACGTATACTGAGGGCCACACTGAAGCTCGGCTTAGCCACGGCAAAGGCCAGATGGGGCCTCACCCCAGCCGGAGCCGCTCCTGCTCTAGCCAGGCCCACATTAGCATCCCATCCCAATGAGAGGGACACATTTGGGTGCACTCACCGGGTAACTCACGAGGGCACCCAAAAATTGAATAAATGTGTGTAACATGTAAATATACAGAGGAATGCTCAAGATGTAAACAAAGAGCATTCCGTAAAAGAGGGAGTGCCGGGCATTTCCCAACTGTCTTAAAGGGATAATCAAAAATCAAAAAAATGTGTGCACAACCTGCACGCTGTGAACCTGTCTACAATCACCAATGAGAGGAGAAGGATAGGGAGGCGTTCTGCAACAGAATAATATGTTGTGTCTTTTCTGTAATGGGTTTGATACTGTCTGAGACAAGTGTAAATATCAACAAATATATATATTTTAATTAAAGTAAAAAAATGTGAGGTTGACTTAATCATTCTGTATGATTAGTTCTGGTAAGTTGCCTCAGTTGGTATTACTCCTACCTCTGAGTCTGAAGATTGTTAGCTTCAAGCCTTATGTTGGAATTTTGAGCATACATCGAGGATGAGACTCCAATTCAGTATTGGTGGAGCACTGCCTTGTTAGAGGTGACTGTCTTAGAGATGTTAAACCGAGGCCTCATCTGCATATTCAGGTGGACATTTTATATAAATAATAGGACATTTTAAGATCCTATGCACTATTTGAAAAGAAAAGGTAGTTTCTCCTAGTGTCTTGGCCAACAATCCTCAAGATAAAAATGGTTGTTCATTTTATGATTGTTTGTAGGCTACTGTTGTTTACAAATGTTTTACTACAAATTGCAGTCACTACTTTACAGTAAACCATTTGAAGCACTTTGAGACATTTTCATGAGGGTGAAAAAGCACTATATCAAATGCAAGGATTAATATTTACGTTCATGCCCCTTTAACATACAAGGACGTTTCAATGGTATCAGTTTGATTTAAGCTGAAAGGCTCATGTAAATCACCACCACTCATCTGCTTTTGCCATTTCAGAATAACAAAAGATTTTGTATTGAGGGCCAGTGTCTTTAATATGAGAAGTCTGTGTGCTTTGAAATGTCTGATCCTCATATACTGTCTTGTTTCTGAAACTAGTACTGAATCTTAAACTCACACATCATGTCCGCAAGTAGCACGTGTTCAGGGAACTGAGAGGTTTTGTACTTGTGTTACCCAGCAAGTTTGAATGACATAAAGAGCTGCAGAAATTGACCATTGTTGGCATGACCATGGATTTCTTTGTTAAAATCAGGAAAACAGCAAAGCCCAGATAAGCTCTGCCCTTTGCTATCCAGCTTTCAACTGTCTGGTCTTCCCTTAGTTACACTCACCACATGCTCCACTAACTTAGTTATCACTTTCAGTTTCACCCAATTCCACCAAGACTTGCTGAATTCCTTCGCAATCTGCAACAGTGTGAATTTTCAGTCAACAATGTTGTCAAATTATAATCAGTACATTTGATTTAACGCCTTATTACATTGAAACCCAACCTATAGTCCCAGCTGAGATCAGCTACTTTGACAACCGTGCCCCTAGGGTGAGTTCCCAATCCTGTTCTATAATCAGTGATCTAAACTGTGTGCACAACTATCTCAGCTCTGATCTCCCCAACATCCAATAGGCTGCTAAACTTCACTATCTGTGACGAGACATAAAGAATGGTGACTTGGGTAACACATAGACAAATGTGCCTTCAGGACAAGAGAGGAGAAAACAAATGCTTATTTAAGGCAATAATATGTGCTGCCTGTGGTCAAGTGAGCTGACACTCACCAGTGTTGCCCATCTATTACCACAAGCATTAGTTTATTCTTTGAGAAAGTGTGCCTTGCAGTCCTCTCAAAAGTTATGGACATTATTATGTAAAGAATGGACATTCCCATTTCTATTCTGCTCTGCGCACACACATACAACCAACAATAATAATAATAATCCTTGCATTTGATATAGCTCCTTATCACAATTTGAGACGTCTCAATCTATCCAGGGGTCAGGCTACCTGCTTAAAATCCAGCAAACAAAATGCCGAAACATCACACTGTGTAGACTGGTGTAAAGTAGTGCTTTCTACTTTGTCTGTTTATTCATTCACTTGATAATTTCATGCCTTGAATTTCATACACTGCTTTATAACTACAATGATCAACAGAATCCTCATATACTTGTTCACACACACATGGATGCTTTTTTTACAAATGCACACTTACATGCTCAAATGTACGTATAATCACAATTACATGTGCACCCAATTACATGCTCACACGTATGTATAATCATACTCACATGGACACTCATCCAAGAGGCATATCTTTCACACATGCGGTCATATTTACATACATGCATGAACTCATCATGCTCATATACACAACACGTACACTGAAACTCTCATTTCCTGCTCTATTTTTAAAATACATATATATATATAAATTGTGCAACTCGATTGAACACGTGGAAGAATGAAGTAGGTGAACGAATTTGATCAGGTGAGTTTGGAGACAGATTTAAATGAGTTGGGAGCCATCAGACCGGTTGGATGAGGGTCTGGGAGAGAGCGGATTGGTTCCTGTGGTTGGGTGACTTGGCGAGACTGCTGGAGCTGAGGGTTATTTAGAGTTGATCTGCTCTCCCGAGTTCATTTCACAGGGGTTGTTGGTGGTGGTGTGTGTGTTTTTTTTAGTATATATATAAAAGGAATGATGAAGCCTTCATTCATTTTATTCAGTCTCCTGGTGCACAATGCGTTCTGCAGAAGTAAGTCATTTCTGCTGCTATTTCCTTTTCACTCTTTTATCACAGAGTTTACCATCCGCTGGATCCTCAGCAATAATAATCCTTGCATCATTTGATAACTGTTCATTGAAGAAGAATTTACTTTTTTTTGTGTGTGTGTTTTTTTTCTCTCTCTCTTTCTTTTCTCTGACTCTTTCTCTCGCAGTTCTTCAGTTCGAGCCAGAAATGCCCTCCGTCTCTACCATCGATGGCCTCCGCACGGCCCGCACGGTGACCCTCTCCAAGCCGCTGTGCGTCTTGCCCACCGGGCACATGATTGAGCTGCTGGTCGTGCAAGGAAACGTGACCCGTAAGTGTTTTAACGATCCCATCCACCCCGTGTAGCTCTCGCCGGCTGGTTGCTGGCTTCCCTTAAAAGCCTCTCGACCATGCAGGCGCTTCATTGTAAACTCCAAGCCAACCCCCACCACCACCTCTAAACCCCCATCCCAAACCCCCAAATCCCCAACAACGCGCACCCGCCGCCTGTGTGGGTGGAACTGTCGCTAACTTTTTCTGCAACGTTTCCAAAATGATGTTCGCGGGTCTGGGACAAACTGATCCAAACTGGCGAGAACGCCAACAGAGATCACCTTCCACAGAAGCTGTCGGCAGCTTCATTCAGTCATTCAATGCTCCTTCCTCCTCTCTGACTGTTGAGCAGATGAAGTGCAGAGACAAGATTTTGTGGTTGTTACGAACACTTGGTATTTGTATTTGTTTTCTACCTAAGATTCTACCTATGTTCTTACCCAACATCTCCAAAAATAATCGTTTTGCAGCACAGTTATTGAATCCCAATTGCCCCATTCAATACTATAAAACAGGGAATCATAACCCCAGGTTTGTGGATATCTTTCACTTGCCTGCGCTCCACAGATGATCTGGAACCAACTGGGTTAATTGGTTCAGTAAATCAATCCTTCAGCACTGCCTGACTTGATGCATTTGAGTCACCGGAATCAATTTGGACAAGATTCTGTGTGTGTGTATGTGTGTGTGTGTGTGTGTGTGTGGGTGGGGGGGGGGGTGAAGAGTACCGGAAATAAACTCCTTCATATGCTCTGGTTGCTCAAGTTTGCTTTTCATTAAACAAGGTGTAGGTTTTAGTCCACTGCAGTCATTGATCAAAGAGACATCAGCACCGGTCGCATTGTTCCTCACTGAGAAACCTGTTGTACCACCACATTCCAGGAATACTTCCTCTCCCTCCCCAAATTAAAGACAACTGCAGTGCTGTTAACAATGGAAGACTGGCGTTCTTTAGAAAAAGTCAGAAACTGGCACTTTTTAAAATAAATAAAAGGCTCTGGCATCCGATCAGCAGCTTATTGGTACAGAGTACTGCTCAAACCATCTAAATTCCTACACTTGCTGTACTGGTATTGGATTCTGCTTCCCCAGCAGTTTTAACTTGAACTGAGGATTCACATGAATTAATCCATGTTCTTTCCAGTATCCCGACGATGTATTTATATTGTGCCCTTCATGTGAATAGTGAGTTGGTTGGATGCTGAGCAGGAGGAAGGGGGAATTGACCACAGGAGCAATCCTACAGGGAGGTTGGGTGGGAGGAAATATGAGGCTTCCTCTCACTTCAAGTTGGTGTTTAGTATTTCAACTGTTGGGTGTCCCCCCTGGTCAATTGGGAGAACACTTGATTCAGTTTATGGTTTAATCCCACGTGAGGACTTTGAATTCAATCTAGGCTGATATTCCAATGCAGTGTTGGGGGAGCCCTGCAGTTTTGGGGGTTTCAGATGAGACATGAAGCCAAGATTCTGTCTGTTCAGGTAGATATTCAACATCCTGTGGTGCGACTTGAAGAGAAGGGAGTTTCTCCTGGTGTCCTAGCCAACAATACTCTCAGATAAGATCGGTCATTCACTTCAGGGTTGTTTCTGGGACATTGCTGTGTGCAAATTTGCTGCTGCAATTGCCTAGCAATACTGTTGCTACACTTCATGGTAAAATCTTGTGAAGCACTTTGAGACCTCGTGACAACTTGCAGAGGTGCTGTATGAAATGTTAAGGATTTATATATAACTAATGATGGCTGTGGTTTATTGCAAACGGAGGAGGTTGCTTCATTCTTGCCACTGGGACAAGCAGTTACTTGTATTGTCTTTATCCCACTGTAATGTGTGCAATATCATGGTGATTTTTATGTCCATTTAAAACCCAAGTGGATTTAGTAGAATTTCAGCCTGGGATATGTAACAAATTTGCTGCTGCAGTAACGTACAAATTTTGCTGACAAACTTTTCTATTTGGTTGGGCCATGCACACCAACGTTTGTACTGTGTAAAATGAGAGTTGGGGTAATAATAAGTAATAATAATCCTTATAAATGATATAGCGCCTTATCACGTCTTTGGGGCATCTCAAAGCGCTTCACAGAATATACTGTAAAGTCAATTGACTGTATTTTGTATGAGAAACATGGCAGCTAATCGCACCAGCAGTATCCCATAAACAGTTGTGGATTGAAGTGACCAATCTTTTAAAAAATAATTTTTTGAAGGAGCTATTACCCCCAGGAAAGCGATCCGCTAATCGACCAACAATTGGATTCCTACTTACAGTGAGGTAAACAGAGGCGTGTGGAGTAAGGAAACTTGCCCAACATGCACTACGGGGAATCGAACCCAGATGTCTCATTTGCGAGGTGATACACACTGCTCTAACTAATGAGCTATAGGACTCCACAAAATGTTATTTACATCTGTTTTCAGCAATCGCAACAAACCTTGATGGCACTTACCAGGCAACTAAAGGAGGGGCAACTGGCCCATACCGAGCTGCACGTTTTGCCAACCCAGAATGTACCTCTTCCAGCTTCACACCCAGCACAGATCCCACAAAGATTCAAACATTGATCGATCGCTATTTCATCCGGGTTGGAAGTGATACCCAGTGTCTGAGCGGAGGGACTGCCCAGTCGGTGCCCTGTAATGCACCACTGAATGAAAATGTAAACTACAGGTAAGGTGACGAGATCCATGGTGTACAGTTACATACTTGACTAAATCGACCTTTCTTACGTGTGAACCACCTGCCCCATCGCTGTACATTTTATGCGCACTAAGATCAGTCATTAATTCTTATAACAATCCACTGACCTTTAGTGACTAGTCCAAAGATTCAATGCAGACAAAACTGCAGAGGCTGTAACTGAAGTTATCTATTGCCTGAAGGAAAGGTAACCTATGAAATAATAATTTGATACAAAAAAATGCTGTGGTTCAGGACATTTTAAAACTCCTTTCCTAACAGACCTGGGTGGGTAGAGACCAGCTAATGATCCTAATCCTATTCTACACGGATTGTCAGCTTGTTTTTCTTGTTCAAAGATGAAGCACAATGTGTTCGCCATACAGTTTAGCACTAATTCACTGCTCGTTCTAAAATTTTTAGGTTCAAGTACGTTGCCCGAGACCCAATAACCTTCATTCTTAGGGATGAAACCGTCTGGTCAAAACCAATAACTCTTCTGCAAGGTAAGTGCTTCACTTGACTTCTGAAATTTTAAGCATGACTGGTGCTGATTGAACAATGCATAACACACTACAGAGGCGACTGCTACTTGTCGTTTCTCCCTTGGCCTATGTGATCCTTTCTCTTCCCCCCCCCCCCCCCCACACCGGCCCACGCTGATGATAAAGCCCCTTGTTCTTTGTTTTGCTCGGCTGTTGCTCCTTTTTGTTTTTTGTTTTTTTAAGTAAATTCCCCCAAATTGCTTCTAGGCAAGACGTCTGATTTGTGCAGGTCACCCACAGTGATTCTAAAATTGCGACGGTACCGATTTGAAGACTATTTGGGAAGTCTTAACCCATTTAGCATGCAGATTGTGAACTCTGTCTCAATATTTTTTGTCCATCTCCCAGCTCTGCACAGGAATCCTAACTTTGGTTTTAAGGCAAACCAATCCATTCTTGCATGTGAAATAACCAAGATAACAGAAGGAAACCATTTCACCTGTCCAGCCTGTTCCACCAGTTTCTTTGACCAAAACGTGTCTCTTTATACTATATTGCTGCCTTTTCTCCAGCCCTGAACGCACTTACTTCCCAAGTATCCATTTGTTTTTAGACATCATCATTGATTCTGGGACAATGCATTCCACAGTCTCGCAAGCCTGTGTTCTGATCTGCTTCTAATAAACTTGGTGCTAATTTTAACACCTTGTCCCCTGTTTCAAACTCTACCAGTGAGAAGAGTTGTCCAGTATGTTGCTTGCTTGTCAGCTCATTATTTTAAATGATATTGTATCTTTGGCTGAAGGTAATGGGGTCACAGGCTTGAATCTTGAGTCTATTAGTCTTGTCCTGTGTATTTACAATAGAATTGTTACAGCTGTAATCCTGGGGCCTACAGTTGTTCCTGACCAGTTAGTGTTGTTGGGAAATGTGCAACGTTGATATCGTCACTTGCTATATTCATAGTATGAACATGCAACTATCCCTCAATTTTTACAATAAAGTTTAACCAACAAACCTTTTTTCCCCCCAGTTCAAGATCCTGCAAGAATTATTACTTGGCCTGGTGCAAGGACTGGAGGAATGGTCGTCCTCACAACCCTTCTGGTTATCATTCTCTTCCTTCTCCTCTGTGCCTTTGTTGCTTTTCTGTGGAGAACGAACCGGTGAGTTTTGGGTGAGCATATATTGTTGTATGATAGAATATGTGGACAAGAGTTGTGGACAAATTAGTTTTTTTTTAAAGTGATGTGGTGGATGCTGTTTGTCCAAGGAGATGACAATTCTAGTAACTATAACCTGGTGATTTCCCTTCCTTCCCAAGATTATTTCCAAAGCTTCATTTCCTTACACAATTTTAATGTAACTTTATTTCCTCTTGTCAGGCAATGAACATAACTTTGTTCAGCCCACATTTTGTTTGCAAGGAAGCTACTTGTAGATTGCTGCTTGAATGGGTCTTGGCAAAATATTATTGTGTGGGATCCGAGGCCTGAATCTGATCTCTAGCTTGCTCTATATCAGGGGCAGACTGGCTACACAGGAAATCAGAAAATTTCCAGAGTACCTCTTTGTTTGGCTCCTGATGCTTACCACCCCGGAGACTGACATCCGGATGAGTGACGGCTTGGACTAGTCAATCGTCACCCAGAGTCTGCCCCGCCTGATGTCACCGTCTGGATCCCAGGGAGCCAGTCAGCCACTGCTCTAACCTGATGCTACTCAGCTAATTGTAAATAGTGGCAGTGTTGTCGAATTGACCATGCACAAATCTTCCATTTCCGCAATGCCTTTTCCTTCTGCAGGTTTGCAGAGAAAAGCTCCTTGTTAAGGCCTACTGAAAGTCAGTACCGCACACATCAGAAAAACCCTGTTTTTGTTGAAGATACCTACGCAGAAGTAACTGAAAATCAAGGTGCACAACCTGAGGAGCAGCAGCGTTATAGCACTGCTACTCCAACACCTTCAGTATAAGATGAAAGATCTAAAAGGTTAATGTGAGTAAAGGGAGAGGGTTCTGAACTGTTCATTTAACTCCTTGCCTATCTATTTTATTTAATTCAGCCTCAATTATCCATCCATCTTCTTGAATACTAATCATAAAATTCTTAGCTACATATTTCTGTAGCTGTACATTCCAACATTATTACTTTCAAGTTGCATTTCTAACCAGTTTGTCCTTTTTATTTCATTTGTTCATTTGTCTTGACTTGTATCCATTTTTGAGTGTCAAATAAATTATTCCCCAATAACTGGGAATGAATTGGCCTCTTCAACTGCCGAGTATTTGATGTAAGCATTACAGTATTTGACCTCCTAATGATGGGGGATAGAGGGAAGAGACCTCATTGCCCTCCTCCACCATTACCTCTCCCCTTGGGCTGCTAAGACCCCAATCCATGCATTCATCACATCCAGGCTTGACTCCACCAACTCTCTGCTCGCCCATTACCTAACTCTTCCCTTCACAAAACGCAGTTGATTCAGAACTCTGCAGCTCATGTCCGTTCCCGCACTGGCTCCACAGCCTATTACCTCCATTCTGCTCCACTCACCCTCCATATCCTGAGGATTCAGTTCAAGCTACTTGTATAAACTTTAAGTCACTCCATGGTCTTGGCCCACCCTACCTCTGAAACTTTCTCAAACCATACAAACCCAGAGACTCCCTCCTCTCAGCAGGTCCTTGCCTGCTGCAACCACTTGTATTTATATAACCCACTTTGTGTGAGGTAGCATCTTGGAGCGCTTAGATGCTATATGTCCCCCCCCTGCCCCACCATTGGGGGTTGGACTTTCAGTCTCTCTACCTCCACTCTCCGGAACTCCCTCCAGCAAGGTCCACTTAAAAACTTTGCTCTTGGATCTCACATTTGATTGTCTTTCCCCTTGCCCTCCTCTCCCACCCTCAGCTTGGATGCAAATCCTGGACTGTCCAGTGCCTTGAGCATCCTCCCAATGTGAAAGGCATAAGATAAATATTAATTTGTTGCACACTGAGTTGCTCAATTAAAATACCAGGTCTGTATTTGTAAAATCTTAACTAAGTTTTGAGCAGCATATGTGATATAATTAACTTCTATTCTTATTTTCTCTCCAGGATACAAACTAAAGACTAGATGAGCTGCATATGACTGTTTGTTAATTTTTATATTCCAGAATAAGCTGCATGATGGAGCCCAAAATTTTGTTTTGTTAGTTACTTTAGAAATTGGTGTTGATTTTGGGTTGTAATTTTTGGGTGTTGAGGTTATCTTTGTAAACACTGCTTGTATTAAACTCATGGTACACCTGAGTTTTTGTTTTATGCTTCTGAGTCTTCACTTCAGCACTTGGGGATTGGAAGTTAGATGTAAACATGTTACACTAAACTCCTAAGACAATGTGTTACTCCTCGGAGCTGAATTTTATCCTTGCATTTGATATAGTGCTTTATCATGTCTTTGAGACATCTCAGCGTGCTTTATAGGGTGAAATGCAGCAGCCAATTGCACACAGCAGTATCTCACAAACAGTCATGAATTGAAGTGACTAATTTATTTTTTTGAAGGAATTATTACATCTGGAAAAGCGATCCACCATTCGACTGGATTCCTACTTACTGCTAGGTAAACCTGTGTGTGGAGTAAGGAAACTTGCCCAACATTTTCCCCTTCTGGGAATCGATCCCAGGTCTCTTACTTGCGAGGCGAGTGCGCTAACCACTGAGCTACAGCGTTCAATTTTATACCTATGAGTCACAGGCTTAAAAATGTTTAAGCAGGTCAATCATCAGCTCCCTTTTGAGTTATAAAATAAATGTCAGTAAAGGGGTTAGACTCCAGCGGTTACCCCCACACACACTCTGGTGTCCCCAAACGTTGGCTCTTGCAAAGCTGCGCCTAATACTTTCTGGAATTAGGTAAGCAGGATGCGTCCCTCCAGGGAGAGTGTGCATTCCATTCCAACAATCTCTGGAATTTCCATGTGTAGGTGGGATGCCTGGAATTCTTGGTTTGAATACCCTTAAGCATGGTGATAGTTTTCTGCATGTATCAGACACTGAGCTGACTCCCAAGAAATTGTCCCTGCAGCTTGTCAACTGCGATTACTGCTAGTTACTTGGGAAAGTGAGCCCTCTTTTAGTTACTTGGGATTATGCGCCCTGTGTTGGCCGTTTACTGAACGAAAATCATGACCACTTTTTATAAGTTGCTGGAGAAAGGAGCTGTTCCTGTGAGAGACTGGTAATCAAAGTGGAAAGGGGCTGCCTGCATGTAAATGAAGCCAGCAATGTGGTTCTTTTCAGTGAGCAGAGAGGCTGAGTAAGTTTCAGAGGAACTGAAAGCAGAAGTTGGGAGTTTGACTTGCAGCCGCACTTCAGAATCGAAGAGACTAATGCCACTAGAGGATACCCTCACAGTCAAAATTCACCGTAACAAACTCCATTTTTCACTTCTCAATTCAAGCTGTTGAGTCAGAGGTGAGAGTGCAACCAAAGCAGGAGGTGGGGGAGGGTCAGCAGGGTGTCAGACACTTGCGGAAACCCATCACCATGCTAAAGAGTATCCAAAACAAACTGAGAATTCCATGCATCCCACCCACACATGGAAAATCCAGAGATAGATTGTTGGAATGGAATGGGCTCTCTCTCCCTGGAGGGATGCATCCTGCTCAGCTAATTTGAGAGTGTATTAGGTGCGTGGTAGGCACAAGCCAAATCTTGGGGACCCTAGAGTGTGCGTTGAGGTACTCCTGGAGTCTAACCTGCTAAAATTGCCCTTCGGGACTGTGCTAAGGGGAGAACAGCATTCCGGTCATTCTTGTCCGTCTTCAATATAGAAAAGTCGCAATACAGGTTAAGCCTGATGCGCCTAAGAAGATGTGTGTCCAAACAAGTCCATTTCATGGTTCTGAGCTCCTCGATGGAAAGGCGTTGAAGAGGGAGTTTGTAGGACAGGATTTAAAGATAGATTGAGAAGGGTGAGATGGGAAGGAGGGAGTTCCAGAAGTTCAGGGCATAGAATCTAAAGATGTGGCCACTGATAGTGGCACAGAGTGGGCAAGACATGCAGGGTGACCGCTGGGACTGATCCAGGAATGATGAAATACACCCTCTGCTGACCACAAAGTCTAACTGCGCCTCCTGATGGTAGTTTGGTGAAGGAGCCGGGCAAAATTTCGCAGGTGACACTTAAATCAATTCTTTTGGAGCTGATCCAAATTAGAAAGAGCCCAAGAGAGATTTATGAATGTAATAATGCGCTGGAAAAGGCTCATATTACTGGCTCCTTTCAGAAAAAATATATATGATTTTTGAAGAGCTCAAAGGCTGAGATGTGAAGGTGAAGGGGTATAAGAGTGATTTGTGTCCTATACTGAGAAGAGGTAACTGCTCTTCCTATCAACAACAACTTGCATTTATATAACGCCTTCACTTGGGGTAGCGCCACGGGGTGCTTCACAGTGGCAGAGTCTGACAATGAGCCAAGGAGGGAGTGGGAAGGTGATTGTAAGCACGATCGAAAGGGAGATCTTTAGGTGGGATTTACAATACAATACATTACATTTGTATAACGCCTTTCACAGCGGGAAGACGTCCCAAGGCTCTGGACAGTCAGGGATTTGGACCTGAGGTGGGGGTAGGGATTGGGGAGGGTGGAGGGCAGAGAGGTCAAAGGCTCAGTTGAAGAGGAGGGTTTTGAGACACTCCGTGAAGGAGACAAGGGAGGGATCGAGGCGATGGGAATGTGGGATGGAGTTCCATAGGGTGGGGCAGAAAGGCTGAAGGCCTGCCTGCCGAGAGGGCTGGGCGGGGCACATAGCCTGATAGCCAGAGCCTGATGAGCGGACAGATTGATTTGAAGAGGAGGGAGAGGGCAAGGTGGAGGGATTGGGGGAGAGAGTTTCAGAGCTTCGAGTCATAGTGGCTAAAAGGACGGTCACCGATGGTGGAACGGAGTGCACGAGGGACAAATAGGAGGCCAGAACGGAGGCAGCCGGTGGTGGAGCAGGTCGGAGAGGTAAGGAGGCGGGAGCGAATAAAATGATTTGAAACTGATCATGGGCTTGGTTTGCCGGTCGGCGGAAATATTTAAAACGTGACAGGCTAATTGTTCAATACAGAATTCGATTTGAATCCCAGAAAAACAAAAGTGTTAAAATCCCAGGATTTCAGATCCCAAATCGTCCACTGTGGGGTGCTGATTTGCAGTAAACCCGTGACACCACCGGAGGACGCACTTACACCCATTGCACCAGAGAACCTTTGAAAGTTGCAGCATTTCAGGCCAGTCGGCGTGGCCAGTGCCTGTGCGGGCTCTCTGACACTTGTTATTTACTCCTCTTTCCCTATAACCCTCACTTAACAGCAGAGCAGTTGAAACTCACACTCTAACAAACTCAGCCATTTCAAACCTGCGGAATTGACCCGCTTCCCTGTTTTCTGTGGGCTGAAAATAATATTGTCGTGGAAAAAAGATTTTAAGAAGAGATGCACAATATAATCTCTTTTTTTAAAAAAAAGCTCCAGAGTGGCAACAGACCTGGAAAATACTATGATTAAAAAATAATAATAACGATTTCGACGACCCCTATTTCACATGATGTCATCCTTTGTTTACCACCAAACAATTTCACCCCTTCCCAGGTAGATTTGGGAATGTATGGGTAGGAAAACGACATTTCCAGGTTGAAATTTTGCTGTTATTGCTCTTGCTGTCCAGATGTTGCACAGATTGTATTTTAATTTCTCAGACAACAACTAGCAAAAGATAATAATAAATTAGTCACTCAATCCGCAACTGTTTGTGGGACACTGCTGTGTGCCACTGGCTGCCGTGTTTTGCCCACAAAATATACAGTCAATTCAATTTACAGTATATTCTGTGAAGCGCTTTGAGACTTCTCGAAGGCATGATAATAATAATAATAATAATAATCCTTGCATTTGATATAGCGCTTTTCACGTCAGGAGGACGTCCCAAATAATTCATTATATCAAATGCAAGGATTATTATTATTATCATTTATATAGTGTCCCTCACACAGGGTAGCATCCTAGAGTGTTTGACACTGGCTAGTTGAAGGGTACATCTGAAACATATGTTGTGCCAGCTGATTGAGCAGGTCTATGGATACTCTCCCTGCAGTCCACAAGGCCATGCCAGTAGATTCTATTCCTTCTAAATTACATTAATTTTCTCCCATGTCTCCCAAAGACCAGTGATTCCTGTGATTTACACACAAAGCCTGCTTGTTTCTATTTCATTTCTAGATGTGCAAATCTTTCTGATCTGTCCCAGCTGTGCTTGGAGCTTCCCCACTAGCTGAGTGGATAGAGGTACCAGGTCACGGAGAGAGAAGTGCAGGTTTGATCTCTGCTGATCTTTGCATTTAGGGTCTACGATTGGTCTCGGGGAAGATCAGACCGGGTTCCTGTTTCTGATCCTGTTGGATCAGCCACTGCGCCCCAAAACTCTTCCTCTATCCCACTGACTTTCTGCTTCCTTCCCCATCTTCAGATCACGCCTGAAGACCTTCCTATTCGACTGTGCCCACGGTAACCTCGCCTTCCCCCCGGCTCGGCTTGGTGCTCTGCCACTGTCTGAGACACTACCTTGTGTAAGGGACGCTATATGAAAGCAAGTTTTTGCTGTTGGAAGGAGTCTGCAACATTCACCATCATGACTTTCACACTTGCAATGACCACTTGGGTGTGTTGCCTGTGAAATGATACCACAGTAGGAGAAAACAGGGGTCAAATTGCTTGCGGACAGGAGCGGGAGAAAGAAATTTAAAGGAGCAAAATTGATGGGAAACAACAATCTCTTTAGGATCATTTTATATAGTTCTACATGTTTTCCTGGATTGCTAAAGTTTATGGGATGATTTATCACAAGTTGTATCTGATTGGTTGTGTGGGAACTGAGATGCTGAGCTGGAATTTGATTTTAATTGTTGTATTTTGGGATTATTGAGCTCTTGCTTTTAGGGTGATGGGATTATTTTAACATCGGAATCTCTGGCTCTCTCAGCAATAGAATTGCACTGAGATACCCAAAGTCTATTGCTAATAAAGTTAACCTGGATAATAAGATCCAGATCTGTGCAAGATGAGTTCATTGCGGAGATATGGATTTATCTGGGGGACACTGAGCTGTAAATTCAGAGTGACCATAAAGTCGTAATACCATTATAATGTTTAATAAATCTTAAAGGAATTATGATATATATAATAGGATGGATATCATGACCTTTTGATCACCCTGTATATGTTTGATGAATTTGTTTGAGATTGTAATCTCTACCTCTCCAATGGGTTTATCTCGCGATACTGAACTCCAGCACCGTGTATAATGGGGTTATCTCGGGACACAGGTACAGTGTATAATGGGGTTATCTCGGGATACAGGTACTGTGTATAATGGGGTTATCTCGGGATACAGGTACTGTGTATAATGGGGTTATCTCGGGGTACAGGTGCTGTGTATAAGGGGTTATCTCGGGACACAGGTGCTGTGTATAATGGGGTTATCTCAGGATACAGGTGCTGTGTATAAGGGGTTATCTCGGGATACAGGTACTGTGTATAAGGGGTTATCTCGGGACACAGGTACTGTGTATAATGGGGTTATCTCGGGACACAGGTGCTGTGTATAAGGGGTTATCTCGGGATACAGGTACTGTGTATAAAGGGTTATCTCGGGACACAGGTACTGTGTATAAGGGGTTATCTCGGGACACAGGTACAGTGTATAATGGGGTTATCTCGGGACACAGGTACTGTGTATAAGGGGTTATCTCGGGACACAGGTACAGTGTATAATGGGGTTATCTCGGGACACAGGTACTGTGTATAAGGGGTTATCTCGGGACACAGGTACTGTGTATAAGGGGTTATCTCGGGACACAGGTACAGTGTATAATGGGGTTATCTCGGGACACAGGTACTGTGTATAAGGGGTTATCTCGGGACACAGGTACTGTGTATAATGGGGTTATCTCGGGATACAGGTGCTGTGTATAAGGGGTTATCTCGGGATACAGGTACTGTGTATAAGGGGTTATCTCGGGACACAGGTACTGTGTATAAGGGGTTATCTCGGGATACAGGTACTGCGTATAAGGGGTTATCTCGGGATACAGGTACTGTGTATAAGGGGTTACCTCGGGACACAGGTACTGTGTATAAGGGGTTATCTCGGGATACAGGTACTGTGTATAAGGGGTTATCTCGGGACACAGGTACTGTGTATAAGGGGTTATCTCGAGATACAGGTACTGTGTATAAGGGGTTATCTCGGGATACAGGTACTGTGTATAAGGGTTATCTCGGGATACAGGTACTGTGTATAAGGGGTTATCTCGGGATACAGGTACTGTGTATAAGGGGTTACCTCGGGACACAGGTACTGTGTATAAGGGGTTATCTCGGGATACAGGTACTGTGTATAAGGGGTTATCTCGGGACACAGGTACTGTGTATAAGGGGTTATCTCGAGATACAGGTACTGTGTATAAGGGGTTATCTCGGGATACAGGTACTGTGTATAAGGGGTTATCTCGGGATACAGGTACTGTGTATAAGGGGTTATCTCGGGATACAGGTACTGTGTATAAGGGGTTATCTCGGGATACAGGTACTGTGTATAAGGGGTTACCTCGGGACACAGGTACTGTGTATAAGGGGTTATCTCGGGATACAGGTACTGTGTATAAGGGGTTATCTCGGGACACAGGTACTGTGTATAAGGGGTTATCTCGAGATACAGGTACTGTGTATAAGGGGTTATCTCGGGATACAGGTACTGTGTATAAGGGGTTATCTCGGGATACAGGTACTGTGTATAAGGGGTTATCTCGGGATACAGGTGCTGTGTATAAGGGGTTAACTTGGCTGCTGAGCTCCAGCATCGTATCAATGTTCCTTCGGGATATTAAGCGTCGGCATCGCACATACCCGGGACTGCTCCGGGAAGCGGAGCTGCGAGCGCTGCGCTGCGCTGCGCGGGGATTGCAGGGAGGGGTCGGGGAGGGCTGAGTCCCGGGAGGACGCGCTCTGTGGCCGCGGGGGGGTGAGGGAGGGGGGGGAGGGCTGACGTCAGGCGGGAGGAGTTTGGTCGCTGGGCTCCTGGCGGCCCCCCCGCACATCCATGGCGGCTGTGCTCCCGCTCTGCGCGCTGACCGGCCCCGCTGGACCGGGGTGGGGGAGGGCGAGAGGCAGTGCAGTGCGCCCTCCGCGCTCCTCATGAGCCGTCCGCCCCCGTCGTTCCCATCCTGAGCGCTTTCCCGGGAGGATTTGAGGCCGGGACCGGGGCAGGTGCAGGGACAGAGAGGGGGGGCTGCGGTGGTCGCCACAGCCATAGCCACACAGCCACAGCCATAGCCATAGCCACAGCCATAGCCACAGCCACAGCCAAGGCGATGGCTGCAGAAGGTGAGGCTCAGAGCCCCGAGCAGTACAGAGCCGAGATTCGCCGTCTGGGCAAAGAGCTGACAGACACCACCCGAGAGAAGATCCAGGCGGCCGAGTACGGGCTGGTGGTGCTGGAGGAGAAGCACACCCTCAAACAGCAGTACAATGACCTGGAGGCTTCATACGAGACCCTCAAACACGAGCTGGAGCAGCTGAAAGAGGTAGAGGAGCGCCCTGCCCTGCCCTGCCCTGCCTTGCCCTGCCCAGCCTTGCCCTGCCCGACCTTGCCCTGCCCGACCTTGCCCTGCCCAGCCTTGCCCTGCCCAGCCTTGCCTTGCCCTACCTTGCCTTGCCCTACCTTGCCTTGCCTTGCCCTACCTTGCCTTGCCCTGCCTTGCCTTGCCCTACCTTGTTTTGCCCAGCTCTGCCCAGGCCTCCCTTGCCCTGGCCAGCCTTCCTTGCCTTGCCCTGGCCAGCCTTCCCTTGCCCTGCCCAGCCTTCCCTTGCCCTGCCCAGCCTTCCCTTGCCTTGCCCTGCCCAGCCTTGCTCAGCCCAGTCCCCATTAGCCGCAACACCCGCCCGATCAATCGCATCCCCTCCTGCCATCCTTCAATTCCCCATTTTCACTGCGGTGAAAAATGATCCTCTTCCCCCCCCCCCCACCCCATACACACACAGACAGACCCCCTGATGTATGTGTGTGTGTGTGTGTGTGTGAGACACCAACCTGTGCTCTGGTGATATAAATCAGTGTCAGAAGTCACCAGTTAAACCGACCATTCATTCATTCATTCATCCATCCACCCCCAACCTGTCCTCACTGGGGGAAGGTCCGCACAGACACCACTGTCGTTTTTTAACAAAAATCTATAAGTGTCAGTGAAGAATAAATGTGTATTTTGGCCACTGTTTTTTGCAAGTGTCTGAGTGAGATCGGTGGGTACGTGAGCGTTTCTGGCGTGACTGGGTATAAAGGCAATGCGGTGTAGAGGATGTGGGAGGCAGTCAGTCAGTCAGTCAGTCAGTGAATCGCTTGCTTTACTGCTGCTGTTTCATTCCCAATTCTGCAGCTTCACTCCGAGCCTGGAAAACATGACGGGTTTCTTCCCATCTCCTGGAAACTGTGTGTTTTTTTTTGCTGCATTGAGCTGATTGGGTTTTGATATTGTTTTTAAATCAGTATGAATTTTGATCTCTAGGTTTGCTTTGTATTTCGACAGTAAACGTGAGTCGAGAAAAAAAAAAGCCTTTCCTGGGGATTTGTCCACCAAATCAATAGACTGGTTGGTGTTATTTACACATTGGTGCTGTCAATGAGCCAAGTCCTAAACCCTTCAAAAAATGCAGCATCAGGAATCAGGACATCAGAGGCTTGAGGCTGGTCTGGGTGGAGATGGCACATTTGCTGTCTGTATTGCCAGCCTCTGCCTGCAGACATGTCTTAGTCATGGGTCAGGTTCGGTTTGCAGAAGAGACCAATGTGCAGAGGATAATTTTGAGGTTCCTTGGCATCTGATGACGCAAACACTTACTGTTAAATGCTATTCGGTGTTGATAGCGGAAACCTTCCCTGACAGCTCACTGTCTGTCACATCACACTCTCAGTGCAGGGGGTCAACAGCCTTGATCTGGAATGAGTGGGCATTTACATTGAACCTCACTGGTTTCACGAGAAAAGATGAGTGTGATTTCCACAGACCCTCACACCCCCACTCCCCCCATATTGCATGTGGATACTTGTGTATTATATATGTGCATTGGATATAAACTGGAGGAAGGGTCAGGGCGTTTTGTATTTAGTGAGATCCATCAATCAAAATGCGAGTGTCGAGTCCAACCCCTCTGATACTGTCTCAGTGATCCTGTCGTTGCAAAAATCATAATGTGTATGAATAGTTCATGATCTTCTACATATTATCTGAACCCAGAGAATAGATTACAACCAGGAAATCTGTCCTCTATTCTCTTGATGTCTCCTAAGTATTTTTTGTGTGCGGGTGGGAGAGAATACACTTGTTTTCTCACTGTGCCCCACTGCCTCGTGATGGTTCTACACAGCGATTACCAGTATCTGATGTTGTTGCCGTCAGTTTAGTGAGAATGAATAGTCTGCAATCGGTTACTAAGAAGATTTGCGCCTCGGATCATTTCACGGAGTTCGTTGCTGTGACTGCACAACCACCACTCCAATGTCATTACCTTTGAGGGGCTGATTCCAGACTGTTTTGGGGAGTGTGGACATAGGACAGGAATTACAACAACGATTATTCTGCTGACTTCTGTTGAACTGGGAGCTGAGGGCTGAGGGCTGCAGTTCTCAACTGCACGTCCTTCGTGTCTGGTGCTCAAAGTCTTTCAAAATACACCCACATACAGTAATTAAGTCAGTCGGATGTGGAGGAGTTTTATAGGAGGGGACTTTATTCAGGGACAGGAAGAGTGTCTACACTGGACCTTGTGAGACCTGGATTTATTTTTACCCGTTGTGAATGAAGCTCTTCTGAGCTCAGTCTCTGACACTGGCGATATCTCCTCTGGATGAGTTGGGGCAGCTCTTGGCCACTTATCAGATGATCACTGTGTTGCTCATAGTGCTCTGGGACGCTACCCAGTGTGAGAAGCGCTAAATAAATACAAGCTGTTGTTGCTGTTGTTCTGCATGTCCTGATATTGGGGAGGGAGGTGTGAAATGATCCATATCTGACAAGTGGGCAGGGGTGTGGGGAATGCTCCATGTATGGGAGTGGGGAGGTGGAATGCTCTATGTTGGGGGGGGGGGGGTGGGGGGGTGGTGGTGGAGTGGAATGCTCCATTTTGGGAGGGAGATGATTATTGGAAGTGCCTTGCCTGGGGTCCAGGAGGGAGGTAGCAAATCTGCATTTGTCTGATAAAAGGATGTCATCCAGTGGTAGGGTCGAGGTTGACACAAGGAACAGAGATATCAACTCAGAGAGTGAGTGCCTGTTCCTCATCTCCCTGTTTGAAAAAAGAAGATACGTAAGCGGGTGGGGGTAGAGATGAGATTTATTAATAATAATAATAATCTGGAGTAGTGGGGGGAGGAAGGGCAACACACAGCGAAGTCAGTCAGACCTCAGCAGGTGCAAATCCCCAGTTGCCTTTTGTGCCTCGTGTGCATTTGCAGCTTGTGGTGAGTTGTCTACCCTCAGGACCTGCTGGGGAACCACTGGCTGCTGCTGAGCTGTCAGGCTGACATTCAGTCCAGTGCTTCTGATAATTGGCCACGTGAGAGTGAAACTGTAAGTGCTCAGCAATGGCAATTAGCGGCACTGCTCCTCTCTGTTACTGGGAAAATCTGGTTTATTCACACTGTTACGCTTTCAGCCCTGAGTGGTTGTGACGAAGGGAGCAAGTGACACAATTTGTTGTATCACGGAGTATTTGCAACTATGAAATGCAAGAAAAGCTGTTAGATAGACTTGGAGGGGGAGAAGTGCGGATTTCTGACCGCCCTCTCGGCCAATGATGGTGTGTGGTGTGGGGAGATGAAGAAGAGAGTAAAGCAGAGTGACACAAAGTGATGTTCCCATTGCGTGGTGGTGGGTGTTGACAGGCTGGTACATTGTACCACCACACAGTGACCATTGTTTGTGTGGGAGTCCGGACAGTGTGAGTTGGCAGGTTAAGGAGGGACATCGCAGCCGAGTCTGATCCTGTCCACGCCTTCTCTCAGAGCTGTCTGGATAGTGAACAGGAGTGGGAACCTGCTGACTATTCACGCTGTGTCTTGTGTGTGACCCCAGCACTGTGGTGCAGCTCCAGGCTGACAGTACTGCTCCGTATTGTGACACAAGTCAGGACCCACTGCATAGTGATAGGGGCTGCAGAGAAAGAGGCAATGTCAGGATTTAAATCAGGTATTAAATGAGGCTGAATTGACTCTACTTTTTAGTAGCAGTAAATTTGCTGTTTTATTTTCTCCCTCCAATCTTCTTTCCTTCCTGAGACATGTGTGTGATGTCTGCTGGTCTCCAGCACGTGTGTGTCATGTTTGCTGGTTTCTAGCACATGTGTGAGATACCTATTCTGAGGGCGTTGCTTGTGCTCGTTCCAGGGGAGGTGTGGATGGTGCAGTTGGTCAGAACATTGCCCTTTCATCTCCAAGACCTTTGTTTAAATCCAGCCCAGATTGATGGGATGAACCTATTTGGTTGGATCTGACTGTGTGGTTCAGAGGTGTAATGCTCTATGAGCTGACCATTGTATCATCTAGTGCTTAAAGATCAGACTATAAATATTCTTACATCAGTGGGTTGCCCTCTTTTAACTGAATTTGCAACAAATGCTTGGGATCGTTGGTGGCTCAGCAGGTTTACACAGAGAGTAGCTGAGCAGCACAGATTCAGAAAGACACAGATTCAATCCCACATCTGTGCTTAGGTTGCTAATCTCACCTGTCTTTCGTGGCCTGGGTTAGGGAATGGAAAATCACAAGGTTTCCCACTTCTGAATACTCCTGGTGATCTCTACGAGAAATGCTTGGTTGTTGATCAAGTACAGAATTGGGCTTGACTCTGAGAGTCCTTGAGATCAAATAGTCTGTCGACACCTCCCGCCGAGATTTAAGAGTGAATAAATGGCACCTGGCAAGGTTCTGAAATATCTGCGAAACTGTTACCCATGTATGCTGGATCAGTATGGAGTTGGCAATTAGTGGAGTATGGAGTTGGCAACCCATGCATCAGTATGGAGTTGTTCTACAATAGATCTATAAGGGTTCTTCCCTTCACTCTGAGATATTTCAGTGTTAACCATCATCACTGTTGTTAACGACACAGCTAATTGCTGGCAATATCACAAGGAATCGCACGTGGTTGAGATCAGAAATGAAGTGAAGAAATGTAATAAATTGTTGACGAAAGAGATACGTGAATGACTAGTGGTGTCAGGTGGTTAGTTACAATATTACAGTGAGTAAATCCAGCGCACAATATTGCAGTCTTCAAAGCAGCATTCTCAGTTTCCAAAAATGTTGCAGTTATTCCACAGATTTATTTTTGTGTCTGGGACACACGGTTCTGGACAATCTGATCCTCTATTAAAACCTACAGTTTTTTTCCTGCTCTTCTTTCTTCTGTAAAGGCACTGTCTTGCAATGGGAATAGCATGGTTCCAAGCGGATGGCTGCCTTTCAGTGCCTCGTCCATCAGTAACTGTAAACATGGGAGCCAGAGGTCCGCTGGCTCCCTATTGCCGAATG